TCAACTACATTTTTACCCTTCCATGCTATCTCTATTCCATTCTAATCACGGAACCATTGAAGACCTCCTCATTTGATTCAACCACATTGTTTTATAATTATAATAGTTTAAACACATCAGCCGTATTTCATTTCTTCAGATATGTATAACTTTAGTGGATAAATAAATAATATAAAAAGAAATGAATAAATAAATAAATAACTAGAAGTTATTAGGCTCGAATGCCCAACAAAGAACCCGCTAAAATAACAGTAATATAATACCAATGACAATAAATAATATTTATAACAATTATAATAATAAGAGTACGCTAATGCTCTCAAGCCTTACTTTACTTGGTTTATTTGCGCTGGGCAAACTACATTTCCAACAAATAAATAACAATTAAAAAGTTAAACGACGAAGTAGTCATTGGGACTATCCAAATATCCAGTGAAACAGTAGTAAAACAACAATAATAATAATAACATTAATAATAATAACATCAATAATAATAATAATAATAATAATAATAANAATAATAATAATAATAATAATAATAATAATAATAATAGCTAGAGTGATGATATTCATTATAACACTTTATCGAGAGTTTCAAAGAGGGGACGTGGCTTAACATCTGAGGCTCCGCATATCAGCATTCCCTGCGTCTAACATTCTACATACTTGTCGAAAAGTAACATGAAAATTCAGCGAAAACTCGTCCGCTTGTCATTGAGTGGATCTTTATCCTTGCTAAGCTATTCTAAATCGCTTGCAGTCATTTTGATTGCGCTGAAAAACCATGCACGCTCTTGAAACCATTTATCTTCGGATACAAACAAAAATGAAATCATCAAATATCTCTGTTGCCTAAGTGGAATGAGTCATGCGATAATCGCATCCTCCATCTACTCCTTACACTTTGTCTGTTTTTCATTTTCAACCATTTTATATCTGTCGATATTTATGATCGATTCTTTTCTATTTTGAAGTCCGTCATAAAACACTCTCATTGCTGTCAAAATTGGCGTAACACTATCTGCAACGATGTTGTTGCCAGCTAACTGGAACTCAGTTACTATAACTTCCCCATTCACAAATGGGCGAGTAACCGCGACGCAGCCGCACGCTTCTGCATACTGCGAAAAATACTGCACTGGAAAGAGAAGTTCCAGAGCAGCATCTCTACATCCAGCTACTAGAAGTTTGGTGCGTGAGGTTCTCCCCTTCGATCTAGTGAACCACTGGGAAACTGGTGGTTATAGAAGCATTTAATTCCGGAAGGACAAGCTTCTGTAGTCCGAAAACTCTGAGAAATCTCCTTAATTCCACTTAGTATTCTATAAAAGATGCCTGCATGCATTCGACTAACTTAACCGTGTTGTGCTGTTTAAATGCATCCCTGCCCGTACCACCTGCTGAGATTAGTCGAAGAAGGCAAGTTCAAATAGAATTTTTATCTGCAGGCGATTCTGCTACAAAATATTATAGTTAGACGCTCCACCGCAAAGAATCCTCATTCTTAACCGAAGTAGAGGAGTATGGAGTACAAATGAGCTAGTGAAACACCTCAATCGGGACTTGACCAGACAAACGAGATCTTTCATTCTGTTTCCATGAATCGATTGACACCAGACCAATCTATCGGGAGATCTGATGATTTTACCCCTAGGTAGCTCACGCAATTTGCTTCATAGACCACTGGGCATACGAGTATGATCAAAGACTGAAGTGAATGCATGGCGCAACCCAATGAGATTGATAAATAGTTACGAAGTTATTGGATAGTGCTCTACAGAACAAAAAAGAAAAATAGAAAGAAAGAGCTTTTTCCAGCAGTGAGTAAAAGTTTGCCGAGTGGGAATTTTACCATTCAATCATACCATATTTATTTAGTGAAGGAACATATTTTCTGATTCCACTCAAGGAATTCTCGCTCCCTACTATAATTAGAGACTCCTTTGTCGGCGATCCCTTGTCAGATAAACGAGGACTTACCACAAGAGCCCCTTGACAAAGACTTATTTCGAGCTCAGATTACTTTCCGAGCAGAAAATGTAGAATTTGAATTTAACGTGATCAAAACAAATCTGTGGAACGAGTGCATATTCATTGATCATCTTGAATCGTGGTCATTAAGACCCCCGACTATGGTTATGTATAAGATATTCCATGGTCGACCAAAATACTAATTCTAATCTAGCATAGTTGGTATAGATAATCCTTATCTACCATATAAATGCATGTTATGTGGTCTTGATTCGATTCAATCTAATCTTTTTTTCAATAAATATCCTCAAGCTTTAATAATTACCGACACCAAAGGACCCATTTAATTTGCCATATCTATCACCGTTTTCATTCAGTCGTTTTATTTATTTATTCAATCGTTTCTCGTGATCATATGCATGCGTCCATTGTTGACTGATTGGCCGCTTACCGTCTCTCAGTATTCCTATTAATATTGTATTAAAGGGCATCAAAAAATAATAGAAGTAATTAAAGAAAAGAGCAAAAGAACACCTCAAAAAATGAAACAACGCTTTAGTAGATTCAATTCAATATCAGTTAAGCCTAAACCTCTTTGCACTACACAAAAAACTTTTTAAGCTGAGTGCTGGCCTTGGTTGGCCACAAAAGAGCATAAATGATTTTCGTTGCTTGTCTGAGTCTCCCTCAAAACTGATTTGATTAATCTCATGACAATTTTGACGAATACGACATAGAGGTTGACCCTCCCGAAACCATAGCATATAGCCTTTTTTCAAACCTCAACTTTTCTAGGCATGGAATTTTTGGGAAAGAATAACGCAAACCAAGTTATCATAAAACTAATCGAAGTTCAATTCCTACACTTGCTTAAGATTGATCTGAAGCAGTAGTCAGTAATGTTAAAAGTAAAAAAGATAAAGTTTATGGCTAGTATAAAAAGGAGCATAAAATTTGGTGAATGTTAGAGAAGACTGTAATAAATTAAGCCGTCAAAATTTCGATATAATCCCCCGAAGGCATACGTTTGGGTCCTCCCGGTGCCGTCAATTCGTCCATAAATCACGATTGCCATGAGATTTTCCAAACATATTTCTGCAGCTGGAGCTAACTTCGAAAAGCACAACCCTTCAAGCTCATTCCTGGACCTATCCATACCACATCTTGACATTCTTTTGTAAGCAGGCCATCCGCAGTGGACCCTCTCAAAGTCATTGCATAAGGCTTCAAGGGTCTTCAAATGCTGACGACGGAGTGGCGTTTGCAAAAGAGGAATCAGTTGGGAACCCCATTCTTTAAGACAGTTGTAAAGGGACTTAACTACTAGTTCATTGCGATATTATTATTTGATTCAATCTCATATCTGAAGCTCTGTTGTAATTAGGCATTGGAAAAACATAACCAGTTGAGAAGCCCCGTTTTTCAACGACCGCTATTGAGTCATAGTTGTTTTCGCAGTATGCAACCATCGGACGAGCACTTTTCTATGTTCTACCCATTACAGCTTGATATCTTTTGACTTTACTTCAACGGTCAGTCTTTCCTGTGATACAGTCAATACCCTATATTCTCTTCCCACGGATCTTGACCAGTTTCTCTCTAAGAGCTAATGCTAAGACTTCGTGTACTCACCTAGAAAGAAGAAAAGAGCTCTGATAACTTATCCTACATACTTCAACTTTAACAGGTCATCTGGGAAATAATTCGTACGAGCTCCCAAATCGCCCACAGCATATCCTCGAACAGAATTATTTGCATGAGTTCAAAAAGCCGAATGGACGTACTGCATAAGAAATCACCTAACTCTAACTTCTGACTTGCGGTACTAATACAATACCCGCAAACCAGACCGAAAGTAGGAAATACTTAGCGCTGATCAGATTCGGTCGATTTCTGATCAACCATGCTCCCCAACCGATCACCTAAACCAACATAGAAACCTACACATTGCACATTTCAAATACTATGATGAGGACCTTGTTTTATTGTCTTTCACAGTGTAAACAAGTTGCTTTCTCGGTTAATTCACAAAAATAAACACTAGTGAATAACAGAAGCCCAGGAGTGCTACAGTTTCAATGATAAATAATGTATACGAAACAAATAGATGATAAATAATAACACATGATCACACATCCCACACCTCATCCCTCATTCTCACCATTTCAACACTCTCACCCTCACCACCATTACTAGCTCAGTTGCAGGCAATATAGAGGCTTTCGAATGAAGTGCATATTTCTAAGCAGTAATTTGAACAATTTTAGATTTTCAATGAGATTTCTCTTGATTAAATTTCATTAAAACCGGTCTCTCATCACGCACCTTGTTTTCTCATCGGTGGCTCCAAAGAACAACTCAGGTCATGTCGGTGAAAACAAAGCTCTTCGTAAGAAGTGCTTCCATTCCATCGGCGATGTTTGACTTAGGCTTAGACGACACATTTCCAGAGCAGAGGTGGTCAGGTGGACGGCACTGGTCGGGACACTCCCTTGTGGGATGGGCGGGTCATCGGATCGATCTTGATCAACGATTCTGATCGCCGATGGCGTCAAACACTCACTCCCTACCATTAATGAAGACCTCTCCAGACTTTCATACCCTACCAGTTGAACCTGAGCAATGCTCATTACAAGACTGGTGAGCTTATGGTCTCCTCTATACCCTTAGACCATATCCTTCCTCTCCCATTCCCTTCTGTGGATCTCCAACTCCTTCTAGGTACCTGTAATCTCCTGATGTGATCCCATATTGATGTAGTATTCCTGATCAGTGTTTCCCGCCTTGATTTCTACGGCATACCAGAGTTCTTCATTATTTGCATCCTGCAGTCCTAGTTGTTGTACGTTTCTTTCAGCGTCTTTATCAATCTTTGAGCTGTTCTTTGACGTCGATCGGACCCTTCTCCTAGAAGTTTATGTAAATTTCACTGAGCTGATCGCTTTCAGAAGTCTTCGTAGTTACTCGACTACAAGCATGTGTGGCATATTCGCTTATCTCAACTTTCTAACTCCAAAGACTCGCAGTGAAATCATCGACATCCTCATTCAAGGTCTACAGCGTATGGAATATCGAGGATATGACTCTGCCGGTTAGTTCTATGGTCGAGTATTCTTGGTTCTCATCTTCCGATAATTTTTCTCCAGGAGTTAGATGGAAGATTTTTAGGTATTGCAATTGACGGTGGAAACGAACCAAACGACCCACATGACGACATAGTCCTGATCAGAAAGGCTGGAAAGGTCTCGGTTCTAGCAGAATCCATCAAAGGTAATACCAACTCGAATTGGTTTCTGCCAAAGACGAAAAAGAACTCTGCATCTGCCTGTCGCTTATTCCACTCCACATAAACCAAGATTGGGTCCGAATTAGGGGCGAAATCTGGGCTGAAAGCAGCCTCTTATGTGCCCAAAAGGGCAACGAAAATAAAGTAAATGCCGAGAATAAAGTAGATAAGGTTAGTGGCTGAATAGAACAGGAAAACGTGTTGTTCTAAATCAATGGAAAGGTCGAGTTGCGCTATGCGACGCGTTATGTTAGGCTCTAAACATAATCTAAGACTTGCTGAAAGAATCGGGTCTTTTCAGAAACCTCATCTACCCTCGATATGAACATGAAGTACAACATTCACTGCGGTATTGCACATACTCGTTGGGCCACACATGGATCCCCAAAGGACGTTAACAGTCATCCACAAAGGAGTAACGAGAAAAACGGTTTGTTTTCTGGTATCTATGATTCTAAGATTCTATAACCACCTTTCCCCACCTCGCTATTCCCAAGTTAAGACATAAATCCAGAGGTTTGAAGCTAAAAACTAATTCTTTAGTACTTCAAACATGGTTTTAGCTGGATTAAACCCCGGTACTGTCTTGTTCACCAGTGAACTTTCAGAATTCATGGTGGTACATAATGGAATCATTACTAACTATCGAGAAATCAAAGAATATTTAAAAAGAAAAGGACATAAATTCGAGGTAAGCGCAGTTCACCAGATTTATGAGTGACGCCGCCTCGCGACCGCGCGCGGCAGGTCGCACTGATTGCATCTGATTCGTAAACTGAGATAACTGGCATTCTGCTAATTTTTTCATGTTTTTGTAGATGTTTCGATTGGAATAGCTTTTTTTT